TCTCCTCTCCTCTCCTCTCCTCTCCTCTCCTCTCCTCTCCTCTCCTCAACCGCAACCGCCATCCGCCACTTGCCGGACCTCAAACGCAAGTGTAGCACTGCAGTGTTCCCCGCCGAACTGCCAGTTCCGGATGGCAGTGTTCCCGGCCGGCCTCAACCGCCAGTTCTGGACGGCAGTGATAGCCGCGCGACCTCAATCGCGAGTCAGAAGATATGCCAGGAAGAATGTCACAAGATATGCCAGAAAGAATGTCAGAAGATATGCCAGAAATTACACCGGCGTAGACCCCAGATAGGTTTAAAGGACGCCTCGGACGGCTGTCAGCTGAATGCGTCCGCTTTGCCCAGCACAGACCTAAAATTGCAAGATCGGCAAGGACCAGCCAAAGCTGCCCAAACGACACGATGATCATTGCTGCGCAACACGGTGTCACGCACAATATGACAGCATGTCATCATCCTCGGCGTGACATGATGTCGCACCCTGGCATGACGTGATGTCATCCCTGGCAAGACGCGAGGTCATTCTGGGTGTGACATGGTGTCATCCTGGCCTGGCATGACATGATGTCTTTCTCGGCATGTCACCCCTGGCACGACATGATATCATCCCTGGCAGGACATGATGTCATCCCTGGGGTGAGATCATGTCATCCCTGGCATGATATGATCAGAGGCAAACGGAAGGGTAGTGCACAGAAAGGGTTTTGCAAAAACCTGTTCTATCGTGGAAGGCGCGGGACATTCGTAGAACCCAAGGCTATTCGTGGAAGGTTCGTGGAATGGTGGGCCAGTAGAAGAACTGACTGCAACGAAATCCAGAATCCTTCCCAGAACTTCGTGGAATGTATTTTTGATGCACTAACTTCGTATAAGCGGTTTTTGCTGACCCCCTTTCTCCTGGCATGACGTGACGCCATCCCTGGCATGACGTGATGCCACCCCTGGCATGACGTGATGTCATGGCATGACACAAAACGAAACGCCGACCCAGAGCCAGCGCCTGCACCAGCGCGGCGCCAGCGCCAGCAAAACGAAAGCACCAGCGCCAACATCAACACACGGCAGCAGCGCCTGCAAAACCAAAATGCCCATCCAGAGCCAGCGCCTGTGCCAGCATCAGCACGGCAGCAGCACTGCAAAACCAAAACGCCGATCCAGAGCCAGCGCCTGCACCTGCACCAGCATCAGCACGGCAGCAGCACCCGCAAAACCAAACCCCTACTACTGCCTGCAGCTATCTGGGGAAAAATGTCAAACGATATGCCAGAAAGCGTGCCAGAAGAGATGCCAGCAAGATTGTCAGAAGATATGCCGGAAATAATGTTGGAAATCATGTCAGTAGAAAGAATGTCAGAAGATATGCCAGAAACAATGCCGAAATATGCCGAAATACAGTTTTCAATACATGCCAAAAACTTGTCAGATTGAAGTGTCATGGTGGGGAGCATTCGTTTGTTTGTCTCACCTTCCTTCCTCTCAAAGAGTTCACTTGTGTGCGCTTCTTGGTTCGAGAGAACATGTCACTTCAGTGAAATTGGTGCCATTGTTTTTCAAGTGGTAGCATGTTCTAACTGACCCAGGTGCAGATGCCATCTATTGTTTTGTGGCCGGACACTGCAACAACACAGAGGTGAATGAAACAACAACAATAGAAGAGGCAAGTGCCTTTTGTGACAAGCACTACGGTGAGAGGCTGGGGCCGACAGATTGGCGCCTTCGAAAATCCTTGACGGGAAAACCATTTTGTTGATAGAAAATATGTTCTTCCGACCACTGACTGTTGTGCTCGACTTAGGACATATACTAGATGCTCTACTTTTTTCTACTGCGAATCATTCTGCTTTCTTAAGAACTCCTTATTACCATGCTGCAGGTGGACAAAGATTGGCTGGAAAGACTTCATGGCTGTGTTGGCTCGTGCACTGGAAATGGGCACCACACACCAGATTCCAAAGGACACAAAGCGGGTCGGGGACTTGCATATAATCTGTGTATATAATATGTGTTTAAAAAATAATATATATATATACACATACTTGTATGTATATGTATATGTATACAAGATCCTGAAGATCCCTTCGCACGAGCGACTTTTTGCTCGCACAATGGGTCCCAAGGCCTGCGGTCATCAAAGCGAATCAAACCCTCGAACCATTGGTTGTGGTCTGGGAAAGGTCTCATGCGGTCACCCCCGTCATGTCCAGTCATGAAATGTCAATTTGCTGACTGTTTCTCTTCAAAATACACACGAAGCATGCACAAATGGTCGTTGAATCGCACCTAAGTAATTACAGGTCTATGAGAACGGTTCTTCCTGCCAAAAACGAGCTATTGTGCCACTCAGGATACACAGTTTTGAGACAGGGAAGACGATCAGACAACAGGCTCCTCTCCACTCGTGAAGTGAAGGCTTTCACTTTGGCAGCCGTGCGCATTCGTCCTTGACCAATATGGATTTGTTCAGTGCTGAGATTTTTCTCCTCCTGACCTGCTTGCTGCTGCTCACTGCCAGTTTCTTTCTCCCTGACACAGACAATGACAAGCTGTCAGAAATTGAGATGGCGAGAGGCTTGTGTGTGTGTGTCAGCCTCAAAGAACAAGAACGCATACCAGCACCCTTGAATAACTAGACATGAAAATCTTTAGATAACGCAGATTACGCAGGCCGACCGCGGTAAGAAATCGGTGGGGCAGGAGGAGAGTTGCGCGGATGAGGCCAGCCTTCCGGTACCAAATAATACACTTGACTGGCTAGATGTTTGATCACGCTTGTTCCATTCAGAACAGCTATCTTACGCCTCCTGTTCATTCACAAAACATCCACCAATATTGTTTCTTTTGCTCTGTGTGCGTTTGAGTTCTCAACCTATTGTATGATTGTATGCAGTCTGCTCACAGGTACTGTACCCGAGCTTGTATGCTCCCTTCATTTGTTCCCATTCGATTGTTTCCTGCAGGTCTATTGCCACTGGCTGGCTGCTATGTCCCTGCTAGAATATTCCCATTCATAAAAAGCTGACACACTTTCTTCGCTTGAATTGCTGTCATGTTTGATGATTTGTATCCCAGCTTGGCCATACGTCCCAACTTTGTCATCATTTGAATCATTTGCTCTAAACAGTCATCACAGAGTTGTGCGAGTACACTGCAGTGGGACCCTGGGACAGGAGTTCCTTGCTTCATGGCATAAGCTGTAATCATCAGAGGAAGTTTATATAGATTAAACTGATTACTGTAAACCTTCCGAGTTAGGAACCACGATTGTTGGCATCCATGTACAACGTGCGAAAACGACAAGGGGTGAAAGAAGGAAGTCAACAAAACTCAACTTTCCCAGCCTACCCTGCAGAGCACAACATATGCTCCTCAAAAGCACCCAGCATGGTCGTACAACTCCAGAATACGGAGGGACCGGCATAACTTAAATAGTCTTAAGTAGTCCTGCGCATTGTCTCTACAGACTGGGACGGGTTGACCCCTGAAAAAGGCAAGTATTATATATAAAATTATATATATATACATATGTATATATACAGAAAGAACGCCAAAATAATATTTCAGGACACGCCAGAAAACTTGTCAGATTGAAATGTCATGGTGGGGGCCACTCGAAGTGAAGTAGGTTTTTTTGAACCAGCCACATGATGACTTGCAAGCTTTTGATTGTGGGCAGTTTGTCGGCCTTTTGCGATATTTTCGTTTCAGGTGTCTTTAGGCAGTCTGGGGCCTATACAACACACGTTTACATTGGAAGATTAAGATCGGGAAAGATGTTTGATGACTCGGGAGTTCTTGACCATAATGGGTGTCTCATGGTGTGCTGACAGAATGGGTTTGAGTAGTTAGTTTGTGTGTTGACTTGAAAAAGTTGCACCTCTACAGTGTCCTTGTGACAGGAATTCTGCAGAGTCTGTTTTCTTTTTACAAGAATTTGATTTTGCAGATGCCTTTGCCTCGGGGTACATTTTCGTTTTATAGCTACACAATGGCACGTGCATGCACGTACAACCTCACCCCTCCCCTTGAATAGCGAGAGGTAGATTTGATTAGATTCCAAAGTGTCCTGACCTTGTGTGATTGCCAACTGCTTGGCCAGTGCCGATCCCAGCCTACTGCTTCAAAAGTCCACCATGTTTTGCGGTGAGTCCCACTACTGTCATCACACCCCTGCTGGCTTAACTTAACCTGGAACCATAGGACATTTGGTTGTCCTGTAAGCTTAACTGTGGGGTTGCGCGAGGAAAGTATAAATGCATGCACAAGGTCCTTAATAAGATGTGGGAATCTACGGGGGCATTTGCAGCCGCTCATTTGGCGGTCCAACGGGTAAGGTCAGCTTGGAAATGAGTCATGGCAAGGCAGTCAAAAACTTTAAGTTGTGTATTTGAAGGGTTATGGGAGCAGAATGAAGCAATAAACATGATTCGGTATTGAATTTCTGTATCGAGACGACCGGGTCAAAGACGGGGCAACGGTTTAGCGGACAGAGCGAGGACGAAGTAATGTGAGCCCGACTAAGGGTCGAACACAGTGCGTTCCATCCCAGAGTGTGAACATGTCAGTTGCTATCGTGTGTTCCTGGGTGGATCACAAAATGTTCACTTGGAACTTATTTCAAGTGTTTCAGCTAGTTTCAGTTACTCCGGAGTTCGTTGTCCCATTTTAAAGTTTTCAGCATGTGGTGTGCAGGAGTGGAATGTGACTGGCTGGAACTCTTTGATGAAGCTGGCCCACCATGAAGCAGACATATCGGATACTTGGACTTAGCTGCATTTCTTGTGTTTGCATTGGTTTAAAAGCAATCGTATTTTTGTTTGGCCATTTTGCACTTGGGCGTCACCTTTGGCTCAGGCCATGACTGCATGTGCAATGGGCAACTTTCAGTGTGATGTTGCTTACTGCAAAAAGAATTATTGCACTTCTCCAAAGTATCGAGCAAAATTTGGGAACTTGTCGTGGTCCTACGAAGGATGATTAGCAACGAATGTGCACACGTTTGTATGTTAGCATTTCTTAGTAGGTGATCTCTGAAGGAAGCACCTGTCCATAGGTCTGATCAACAAGACGATTGCCACAGCTTCCAAAACAGCCGCGCCGCGTTTTATTGCATCAAATAGTCTTTTCTCACGTGGGCCAGACCAGTGTTTTTCAAAAAACGTGCTGCATTCATAGGCTCAAGTGCCTTATCCGGTACTGTACATGAGTGTATGGGGACTACAGAAGCGCCACTATTCTCCAATGGACCTGCCCTGACGACGAGGCTAGAGCAACAGCCATCCAGAGAGACAGGGAAGGGGAACGAGAGAGAGAGGGAGGGATATATTGAGAGAGACAGAGAGAGAGGGAGCCTGGGAGTGACCACATCGACATCCACACATCCACCGACATTTTTGACAGTTTACCAAGATGTTTATATTTGTCTTTTTGTGTTTCGTATCGTTTTGTTCTGAGGCTATGCCAAGAGTTTTTCTCTTCTTTGGTGCTGCTTGGTGCACAGCAGCCTTGGTCCACAACAGGTCGGAAGCCGGAAGCTGCTTTTGTTTCACCAATTCCAACATTCCCACTAACAGGCGCTGTGCGTGTTTTTGCAGGACAGCGGAAGAGAGTCGGCACTTGGATCGCGACCTGGGCCTTCCCCAAACTGGCGGACAGAAGTTCATTGCAAAGGGCAATTGAATCGACTGTTGAACCAGCTTGGTTTTGAGTATGCACTTCAGCAGGATGGCGCGAGAGGCTGGTAGTCCTGGTTTCATCTGCACAACTTCCAGTTCAATTTGGCTTGGTAAAGCTGCGTGACAAGCTAAAAGCTTTCAAACTTTCAAACCCCAGTGCTCCGTTCAAGCAGCAGGCTCTTTCCGTTCGCACTATCCAAGTCAAACAGCCAGGAACCTGGGCCGCGCAATGCAAACACAGCCAGAGGCCTTTGCATATGAACCTTTTTGGAGCCAAGCGTTCGCAATTAGCTGTTACAGCTTCCAGGCTCCAGGGATGTCAAGCCCAAAGGCAAGGCCGGAGCCCACATTTTGGGACATTCCAAATCATTCATTCCCGGACATATCAAACATGTCACTTGGATCTGTTGAGCCAAACAGAAATCGGGGACGCCGGACGCCTAAAAGGCAATCTTTTGTGAATGTGAACCGGTTTGTTGGGGTCCCTCAGTGGTAACGCGTGGCTCAATGAGCAGTGCAGCGGATGCCCCATCGACGGAGTCGCTTGAAAGGAAAGACAAGGATCCATCGGATCCATCCACATCATCCACCTTCAGCCGACAGCGACAGCCAGTTCAGCTTCATGCGGGAGCTCAAATGTGGCAGCGCGCGGCTGATGTGCTCACCAGGAAACGCAGAGTGAAAGTCCTGAGATCTCTTGCGGGACTGGTTTGCTGAAGGCGGTTCTGCTGCTGCAAAAGTTGCCAAGCAGAGACTTTCCTGCTTCATCCTTTTTGAGAGAGCTGTTTACGGGCAGCTCTGAAAGATGAAGGAGGCCTTTGGGGACTTCGGGAAAGGCGCTTGATTAAGGTGCACATAGATCCTTGAAGCTCGTGTAGGTGTGCCCTTTGAGAAGTCCCCAAACACTGAAACTGGCATTTGCCCACACACACACAAAAGACGAACCGTAACAAATATAACAAGAAGGCAAGATGCCTGCTGGAGTTCTCAACTTTCACAGGCACTTCAACGAAGGAAGGACAATTTTCAATCTCTGAAAGATCGTTGTCTCTTGAGGTTGGAAACGGACTCCCAGTTCTCACATTCCAAAAGCAAAGAGTCAGACTCCATTTCCAAAAATGCCTGTCAGGTACTGCAAGTGATTTGATCCAGGCTCTTGAAAGTCACCAAGCACCAACTCGGACCCGTTCTCTCCTGATTACTGGGATCTTCAAAAGGTTTCGAGGAAGCAAACCAACGCTGTTTGACTGCATCGTGGCTCCCAATTATTTTTATCCTCGCAATTCCTCGCATACATCATGCGGTGGTTTGTACTGTTGCGATACCCGAAAAGGCAAGATCATATCATATAACCGTATTGTATCATATTGCCACGTCCAACTTGCAAACGGATGGGAGCAGCAGGTCAAAATCAAAATCAATACATGTTAATAAACATACAGTGTATATATATATATTATATACTTGAGGACAAGTTGTAATATACATGCAGTACAGTACATATTCGCTCTTTGTTTTCGGACATGAACACACACACACACATATATATATATAGAGAGAGACAGAGAGGGAGAGAGAGAGAGAGAGAGATAGTTGCACGCAAACCAAAAACTTGCTTTAAACACGTAAAGGTTGGCCTTAACAAACTGAGCCTTAAAAGATTGAGGTGCCTCTTGAACTTTGTGACTGGAACTTGAATTAGAGTGTTTGAACGAACTGTAGAACTGGCTTCAATTGGCTTCAGAAACTTGCCAACCTGGACAACTCGTGTTTGATGGCCCAGCTGTCCATTCATTTATATGTGTCATTATATGTCTATGTCACATAGACTATGTGATTCTAACACACCACGGATTGGACCTGCAGTGAATCTGCACACATCAATTTGCTATTGGCTGCAACTTCTGTTTTGACAACTCCGTACTCTCACTGTGACTCAACCTGCAAATTTGAGGAGGTCAACTCCCTTACTGAGGAGTGTGGAGTCAACAGAATGCTGATTGTTACGGCTACAAAGGCATGAGGCATAGTTCCACCCTTTCAGCTGGCTTTCAACGCTTCCTTGCGTTTGCCCCTTCATTTGCCACCAAGTCAGTCAAGCGGGCCAGTTGGTGGCGATCCGCGCAGGGTTTTGAGTGTCTCTAAGAACTGTTTTGCTTCAGTTTTGCCAGGATTTCGTTTTTGGCTTGATCTTCGGCATCATTGCCTTTTCGCTGGCTGTGTCAGTTCACTGGTTCAACGAGGCCTGAGCCACCTCAGCCCTTGTCCAACTTATTCCAACCGCAACCCATAGCGACGTGCTTGGTCCAGGAGCGAAGCGCCAAAATTGAGGCACATCCAGCAAGTACATGATACAAGAGGGGCTGAATGGTTTGGACTTCAACTAGATATTAAGTGTGCAGATCATGTTCTTTGGCAGGTGCTTTTGACCAAGGGTCTCGAAGACTGCCGAAGGTGCAACCGCATGCGCATGCACGCATGTGTCCTCAAATATGATCGGACATGTAATTTGTTGCGTAGACACTGACTTGAGTAGTTGTCGGGGCGTGTGATGCTGCAATGGAAGGCTATTGAAACCATGCTGCCAAAGTCCAATTCGCGTTCATTTTTGCAGTGTTTGCCTGTGCCAGTGTGGATGCAAACAAGCTCGATACAGAAAATCGAGGCCGATTAGTTCATGTTCAGGCACGGTATGGGAATTAGCCAAAGATTTTTCTTGATCTAGGGATCTAGGCATCCAGGCAATCACAAAAAGCATCGGTCCTGCAAGGGACAGGCAACGGGCCAGTTCCCCATTAGAGACGCTCAATTTCAGGACAGCTGGCCACACCTTGCGCAATTTCAGCAGCGAAGCAACGGATGACTACCAGATCAGATCCATACGTTTTAAATGTTTACATGATTTTTTTTGACGAGACAGTAACATGCATATAATATGTTGGTAATGGCGCTGGAATATGCAAACAGAAAGAAAATTAACAACAGCAATTGATGCTGCCTCTTCCGGTAAGGCGGCCTTTAGCTGCCCACTGCATGTTATACACTTGCGCACACTGAACGTGAGGATGCAGTGGTGAACGATTGCCTCAAGCTTCAGAGCACTTTGGAGGTAGCTTTGCAAGGGCAATTGTTTCTGCTGGACATGGCCGCTTCAGTTTCGAAGGTGCTGCAATGGGTTCCAGCTGCTACAGGCTTCGTTAAGGACGTGGTGATGGCTGGAAGTGATGCTTAGTAGCTCGAGCATGCCACGCAAACATGTTGGCATTATTTTGCACTCATTTGCTGATCCACGCGTTCAACATGTTCAATGCCGGGTTCTGACATCACAAAGCTAGCTTTTGCCGGCTAGAGTCAGTCACAGGAAGTGTTCTGTCAGGGTGGCTCTTTCCCTCAAACGTTCAGCTTTCAGTTTCATCACTATCATCGGGTCATAGTCACACCCATTCACTCCCACTACTCTCACTCTCGCACTCATCACCTGCCCAGGAATTCGAGAACGGTGTTCTCTCATCGTCCCTCTCTCCGCTTGAGTGCCCCGTCGATTCTTCCATGATTTCATGAAGGCCACGCAAACTTAATCCCCCAAGTACACCCTCACTAGAGCCACGATAAGATCTCAGAGAGTGAACGTTGATCATTCAGTTTTTTTCAATTTGCTCCTGTGCTTGTTGCTTTTGTTGATTTGTTGCCCTCCTCGTTTGGTTGCTTTCACTGCGGTGGTACCCTTGGATGCTTGTTCGTGTTGTGTCACCTCCGTCATCTCCCGCCTCGACCAAGTGTATGCGGTTATCACGCACTAATTGAGAACAAGACATCGCCAGCAAGTTGACTTCTGTAGCTTTGTGGTCTTTAGGTTTGTCAAGGGGCTGGGTTTCCTGACTTCACACACTCGCACCTTCTTGCGATGATTCAAGCGATTCCAGACACGGATGACCTTAACGAGGACCTGCGGAACGTTCGTGGATACGCATCAGTACACTAAAATCGGTGTTGCATGAGGTAATAACAGAATATCTGAATATCCCAAAAGAAATTAGGAAGTTCGCGTTGATTGGTGGGACAAAGGCTCTTTGATTCGGTAGGCCAAGTCCCACTGGAAAAAATATGTATATACTGTAACACGAAATACCACATACATGTCTGAATCATCCCAGTAACGTCCACCTGTGCAGCAACTTGGCTGGCCAATTGGATCTCACACTCTACACCAATATAGTAGGGGTTTTGAAAGACAAGCAGGTGTGAAAGACATGACGGGCATGGTTCTTGCGCAGTTGGTCCCCTTTGCCTTCACCACTGCCACTAGCTCACCGGGGCGTTGCTGCTGCTGTACGACTACATCAGACCACGTGACATAAAGGCTACCACAAAAGTAAGCATAAAGACATTAAGCTTTAAAGCATCGTGCAGCAAATCCGACCCGGCATCAAGCAGTCATTTGCGTGTCATAACGCCCTGAGGACTTGCCTGGACATCCTCAGCATGTTTTGGAGTGGAGTACTTCGCACAATGACTCATCGCGGTTCAGGCAAGATTCAAGATTCCGTGTGATCTCAATTCGGTGACTCGTGCCAACACGATGTGCCTAAATATACTATACAGCATATAGTATACCATATCTCACATCCCTTTTTTCTCTCTATTGTAACTATAGATTTAGGATGATTTAGTATTTAGATTATGTATTGTAGGCCCACAAAAGCCCATATACCAAATTTTATGATGTCATGACACACTAGGGGTTCTTACGGACTTTTACGGTAGGGGTTAAGCACCGGTGTCTAATCGAGGTGTTGCACCGACGTGTGCGGCTAACTCGCTGCTATTTACAGTACATTCATGCCTCTCGAAATCCTCCAAGTGCATTTCGACTGCGCACGCTCGCAAAATCTGGGTGTCCGCGGCGGGTGCTTGTTGCAGTCGCGCTCTTGTTGTGGTGCCGTGCGCATTTTCGGACATGATGGTCACTTTTCGTCCTCGTGCTTTGGTGGTCCAAAGTCGGCTTTTCGTGACAGGTGCAAGGGATCGGAGCGGCTTTACTTCGAAGTGCACATTTCGTGGCAGGCACAGCACTTTTGTGAACCTCGAAGTGCAGATTTCGCAGGAGGGGCAGCACTATGTGAACCTGGAAGTGCAGATTTCGTGGCAGGCGCAGCACTTTCCTCGAAGTGAAGATTTCAAAGTGCAGATTTCCAGGCAGGCACAGCAGATTGTGAACCTCGAAGTGCAGATTTCGTGGCAGGTGCAGCACTTTGTCAACCTCGAAGCGCAGATTTCGTGGCAGGCGCAGCACTTTGTGCTCTCAGATGCTCACTGTCTCACTCGCTCACTCACTCACTCACTCTCTCGCTCACTCTCTCACTCTCTCATACTCTCATTCACTCACTCACTCACTCACTCATTCACTCACTCACTCACTCACTCACTCTCTCTTACTCACTCACTCTGACTCACTCACTCTTACTCACTCACTCTTACTCGCTCACTCTTACTCGCTCACTCTTACTCACTCACTCTTACTCACTCACTCTTACTCACTCAC